CACTGATGCATTCAAACGGAAATTGGATGGACATTTACTTAACAGTTACCGTAGATACCCTTCCTTTAAGTATAAAATTTAAAGAAGGCATAATTTGCTATCAAAAAAGTACAAGAAATAATTTTTTCGTGCACATTTTTCAAAAAATATATTTGAATCTATAAAGGCAGTCGAAATTAATGACAAAAAGACATGCTACATAAGAAGTCACTTTTTATAGTACATGCTTTGTCTTGGCGGCCAGAAGGAAGCTTGCTAGAAGGCCGGCATCCTGAAGTGTCTAAAATATGTTGAGATTAGGCTGTATGATCATCTCTATTACAACCATCCGCAATTAATACGTTTCCAATCGAAAACTCCCTTCGGAATTCCGGCAGCTATTGCATGAAATAGTGAATCTACTGTACAATAAAGCCTATTTTTGAAAATGAATTTTAGTTTCTAATTGCGAGAGAAATCGTTATTTCACCCGACCGTTACCAAAATCTTTACAAAAGTGACTTTTGCTTAGACAGACAGACACTCAGCATGCACCAAAAAGCGACCGGTGTAAGAAGTTAGACTTTACAACTTACCATGCCAGAAGGAAGGCCAGAAAGAGCAGACCAGAAGCCACCAGGAACACAAAGCCGATGTAGATGCGCACGGTTACAGCAAAGAACATTGGCAGGGACGTTGCACCAACGAAGGTACCGAATGCCTCGGAGAAGCCCAGTAGTGCAAATAATCGTCCTGACATGAAGAAAAACACGTGGTTTATCAGCGAGCTTACAACTTCATGAATCGTTTGAGTGCCGGAAGCAGTAATGATAATAGTAGCAGCGATAGTAATTGCCGTGGTAGTAATAGTATGAAAATATAATGTGCAATAACGGAACATTTGAATTGTAGTGGGGGTGATAACCGTTTTAATAATAATAATAATGGCCGTTGTCGTAGTAGTAGTATTAGAATCGGTAATGACAGTTGTAGCATTAGTAATTATAGTAATTGTATAACTAAGAGAAGATGATTTCCGATAACAACAGCAGTGTACGTCTTGAGGCATAACTTTAAGAGCTGGAGGATTTGGGCGTGCCCAACAACAGTAGTGTTAGGACGGCCCTGCACGTGACTCATCACCCTTATCATCCTGAGGTCACGCCTGGCAAAGGGCCACGGACAGACGCATGCGCGCAGTCCCAAAGAGCCGTGAACATGGGTAAGAATGCCGCCG